TATGTGTTTCATTTTTGCACATAGCAATCCTCGCGCGCGTGCATCCAGATGGTTTCATAACAGATGATTGGATCAAGTTCAGTCCTTTCCCTAACATTGTTTTTGGGTTATTACTGGGTAACAGTCTTTTTTATCTCAACTTTTGACCATTTTCTCAAATCAAAAACTTCAGCATGTACAATCTACGCATGCTTAGGCCCCAGTCACACGATACCGGATACGCATCGGAGCGAGTCGAGCGACATTAACAAAGACGCTTTTCGGCCTCTTGCAACTTTTCATATTTGAAGTTTTTGACTAATTCTGTTATATTATCATAATTTTGAGTGCTAATGTTTCCTTGAAACTGTAAAATTTGATGTCGCTGCAATGCGAATCTGGTATCGTGTAACTGGGGCCTCAGTTGGATGAGTTAGCTTACTGTATCTTAGGTATCTGTTTGTTGCCGCAATTATTCTGATCATGAATCTTACATTTCAGCTTCAGCATCAAACAAAATGGCCGAGTACTTCTTGCCGATGACATGGGATTGGGAAAGACAATTCAAGCAATTGCTGTAGCGTCTTATTACAGAACAAAATGGCCGTTACTTATTGTTGTTCCATCTTCTCTTAGGATGACATGGAGAAGGGTAAGTCCTGTGTGGACATAAGTATAATGTACGTGTAAAGTATTATCACTTACATTACACAAGGCACAAGCAAAAAAAATGTGTTTTCGAGTTTTGTGGCAAATGCTAGAAAACTCGAAAAGGCACACTCTTAAAAACATTGAAATGTCCTGCATGTTCACCTAGAAATAAACTTATTGACTGGGACAGAGGAAAACTGTACGTTTTGTTGACCCGAGACTGCCAAAAACATTGGCACCCGAAAGTCCCATTAAGTATTTTATTGTAACTACTGTAAAGTTAAGTGTCAAAGAACTGTAAACCGGTTTTGCTTTATTGCTCAACGATTTTGTTATTCACCGGTGAATAATGTCCACCGCTAAGAGCTGTTGCCAGGAGACGTTCATGCGTTCTCGTCCAACAAAATTCAAGAAATGATGAACTTTGATACTTGGTATATAATAATGCTATAATAATTTGGGTTAACATAATATTCCTCGTTACATTTCCTTGCTATTTTATCTCACTTCCTATAACCAAAACTGCAAACCCGTCCTCGACAAACTTGTCAATAAACTCATGCTTTCGTGTCAAAATATTTGTGCAACTGTACATTCCTAGTCCCATATCTGCAGGGTGCGATAATTCAATATTTTTAGTCGTTCCTAACTGGTACGCCAATGGTTGTTGCCGCGTACTTGCGCAGGTACAAACTCAGTCCTCAATGTGCATTTCATAGTCATTAAAATAAGGTTCATAAAGTACAGGTTTCTGAAAAGTATATTCAGACTACGAGGTAGAAAAAGAAGCACAATTGCATATACAAGCAATCGATTCCAACGTTTCTTAGTGCCATTAGTTCAATCATGTTTCATGCCAAGACATCTCAAACACATGATGTGCCAACTAAATAACGGTATTCAATATACCTTGGGCTTGGTCATGGGGTACCAGCAAAATGTAAGTATATACGCGGATAGCAAGACTTCCACATACCCACGTACCAGAAAACAAGGAAGTACCAGACCGTAATATTGGCGTACCTCCGGTACGTAAGTACGCGAATTATCGCACCCTGTAATGTCTGAATGTTTTCACACGTAAAGAAGATACCTTTTTCGGGCGACAGGAAGCGTCGCCGGTTTTGATAATACCATATAATTTTTTTAATGTCACTAAGAAGCTTGTTATATTTGAGCAGGCCGTCAATGTTAAAATAATCAGACTATATTCTAGGTGGATATGATTAGTACCTAGCATAGTCTGATTATTTTAACATCAGATAACAATGATCCATGGTATTTATACATTTTTCCAGGCGTTGATTCGTTGGCTTCCTTCAGTACGACCTGAGCAGGTGAACGTTGTTTTAACGGGCAAAGATGAGCCTAGTATTGGTCTGGTGAATGTCATAAGTTATGATCTTCTGACTAAAAAGATTAAGGAAATCCAAAAAGTTGGATACAAGGTCATTATAGCGGTGAGTATAACTTTTGATGATTTTGATTGTGCGCACACCTCCCCTGAGTTAGTTTCCAGTTCTCTGTAATTTTTGCCACTCCCTTGGAAATTTATCCAGCTGCCGTTGAAAAAAGACAAATGGGCCAGAGTCAAATTTTGACTCAAACTCAACAGCTAACTTTAATGTACATTTATATAGTTTAAGATTATAACATTGAAAATGCGATAATCATTCATCTCTGCGTCAATTAACCTTTCAGTGCAATGTTTTCGAAAGAAACTATGTAGTATATAGTATTGTAGCGAGAGGAGAAATTGAATGAGCCGTATAGTCATAATTCATGAATACATCGATAGATTATGTAGACTCTACGGTACATGCATGCACACTATATTGCACCTCCCCGAAAATATTTTCTACCTTCTCCAGCATTTCTAACAAAATGTGGCCTTGAAAAAATGTTCGTTTACTTCTGGATAATCAATTTTCCTTCCCATCAGTGTAACCTAAAAGTAGTAGTCATTTATTGTTGCCGTTGTAAAGGAAGTTAAAACGCTCTTGTCCTTCATGAAACTTCGAAAAACATTTAATTTGTATTGCTTTGAAAGAACACAGTTTAGTATACGTAGCTCGCGCCGTAGAATTTCTGTCTATTTTCCTGTTCATAAGTTTTCCACTGCGGAGTTGCTAATTGGAATGGACATCAGTACAACGGTTGGAAAGTGATTTTTCCAACAGCCTCTCTGTCTGTCGACACTTTGTCAATATTGATTATCAGTGTTTTACTGCCCTGGGTCAGGGGGTTTCTTGTTTAGCTTAAACTGTAGCTAGCAGCGTAGCACTCGTTTGCTGTTCCGAGTGCATGCTGTTCTGGTGTTAGACGTGTTATATACGTCTGATACCAGACCAGCATGCACTTGTTCATGGGTTAGCGGTTAGCTTCTCTCTCTGTTGACATTCTTTGGGAGACATCAAATTTTATCTTGACGTTACTTGAAGCAAGGTTGGACGAAGCTTGGTGTCTGTATTTTAATCACCACTGCAGGTACTGGTGATGTAAGGTTGTTTCCATGTTGACATTCTGAAGGAGACTTGTTATCTTGACGTGACGTGACGTGACGTGACGTGATGTCTGTGCTGGGATCACCAGTTTGAAAAACAAAAACGGTGTCACTCACTCTGTGTAGACTTCGTGATAATCTCGAACAGTGCCAGACAGTGTTCATAATCATTCACCTCTGCGTCAATTAACCTTTCAGTGCAATGTTTTCGAAAGAAACTATATAGTATATAGTATTGTAGCGAGAGGAGAAATTGAATGAGCCGTATAGTCATAATTCATGAATACATCGATAGATTATGTAGACTCTACGGTACATGCATGCACACTGCACCTCCCCGAAAATATTTTATACCTTCTCCAGCATTTGTAACAAAATGTGGCCTTGAAAAAATGTTCGTCACTTCTGGATAATCAATTTTCCTTCCCATCAGTGTAACCTAAAAGTAGTAGTCATTTATTGTTGCCATTGTAAAGGAAGTTAAAACGCTGTTGTCTTTCATGAAACTTCGAAAAACATTTAATTTGTATTGCTTTGAAAGAACACAGTTTAGTCTACGTAGCTCGCGCCGTAGAATTTCTGTCTATTTTCCTGTTCATAAGTTTTCCACTGCGGAGTTGCTAATTGGAATGGACATCGGGGACCGGTTGTACAACGGTTGGAAAGCGATTTTCAAATAGTCTCTCTGTCTGTCGACACTTTGTCAATATTGATCATCAGTGTTTTACTGCCCTGGGTCAGGGGGTTTCTTGTTTAGCTTAAACTGTAGCTAGCATGTTGTGCATGCTGTTCTGTTCATGCCGAGTGCATGCTGTTCTGGCGTTAGACGTGTTATATACGTCTGATACCAGACCAGCATGCACTTGTTCATGGGTTAGCGGTTAGCTTCTCTCTCTGTTGACACTTGAAGCAAGATTGGACGAGGCTTGGTGTCTGTATTTCAATCAACACTGCAGGTACTGGTGATGTAAGGTTTTTTCCATGTTGACATTCTGAAGGAGACATGTGGTCTTGACATGATGTCTGTGCTGGGATCACCAGTTTGAAAAACAAAAAACAGTCTGCACTTGTCGATAATCTCGAACAGTGCCAGTGTTTAACGACGATACCAAACAGCTGTGGAATGGGCTCGCCTCCGTCAGACACGAGAACAGTCTGTACTTCTTCGGTAAAGGTAATTCTCTGACAAGCAACATATACGTATAGCAGCTTGCATGGTATCTGTATTCGAATTACCAGCATCTGGTTCAAACTCGCCTCCTGCATGTATCCCTGTCAAAGTTGCATTGGGGCGCAATGCAGCTTATTAATTGGTTTAATTAAGTAGATACATACATGGGACACTGATTAATCCACTGAGCACCAGAGGTCTCCCCTTGACGAGTAAAACCGTCTCCCGTTAGCCGGAGTAAAATTATAATAAAGTTGGGAACATTGGAGCGCAATTCAGCTGAAGTACAGTACATTTGTACCAGGTCAGCGCCATTCGAGTACTGGTCAGGTAGGACTAAAAATCTTGAATTATTGTACACTGATTATCACATATGATATGTCAATGACGTACAAAGGGAGACAAACCACATAACGAATTAATATAAACGTATATGAACCAACGTCGGAGAAAGGTTAAACCTGGTCGGTCTCCGGACGTCGCAGGAAATTTGGACCTGGTTGGACCCGGAAGGTTGCACCAGTTGAACAGCAGGCACAAGGACAAGTCCGCAGTTTTTCCTGGTGTTTGTGTTTTTTTTTTTCATTGCTGGCAACCTGAACCAAGAAGTACAGTGATTTAAGCCTAGGAAGTGTCAATATAGTGCTCTGCTGGGGCCGTTATCGTCAACATTTTGTAGTATCTTACCACATGAACTAACCGTATGAGGAACTGTATCGTAAACTACCTTCCTCAGTTGCTGCATATTTTAAAATTGTGTTGCCAAATGACCGGCCACACCAAAGGAATCCTATTCAATACAATATCGTTCGTTTGGCGTGGATGGTCATTAAGTGAATCCTTGCAAATTATGTGCATTCGTGTCTTGTTTGTTAAAAATAGAATACTCCAAATACTTATTATCACATACACATACACATACGACAGAGAAATCAAAGATCCCGTGCTCTTCTACAAGACGCTGTATGGCCACATCGACCTTAAAATGGACAGTTATGTTTCATTCATTGAACATAGACGCACTAGACTCAGTCAAGCTGCTAGTGTTGTGCTTCAAACACCCTTGTGTAGAACAACGACCTTTCAATCGTCATTCTTCAACCGGATAGTTAAACCATGGAACTGTATATGTAAAGACGTTCATCCAGATACATTCTTCAGTCCGATCTCCTTTAAAAACTATCTTAAACGTAAATATACCGAACTTGTTAAGTCAGTCTATGATGTTGAGTTATCTTGTACGTGGTCAATGGTGCGGGACTGTCCTTGCCACAGGAAATAGTTAAGTCAGTTTGTCGTGTTTGTATATTTGTCTGTCTCCATTCGTGAGGGTCTTCAGGAGCGGGGTGGACAGGAAAGTTTTCAGTTTGTTTTGCGAGCTTTCGTTTGGAACCTCTGGTTCGGAACTAAATGAATTTAATCAACACGAATGACGTGGACGTCGTGAATTTAACACAATGAAGGCTCTCCGGCCGTTTCTGTTCAGCGGGGGATTTTCCTGTGTGGAAGCTGGCCTTTACCTTTACATGCATGTTCAATCTGTCTCTTAGTTTACTTGACATGTTCAGTTTCAGGAAATAGAGCCACGTTTACTCAAACTCTGAAGCGGTGACTATTTTGAATTTCGAGTTAACTATTCGTTTAATTTTTTGCTTGCCGGAATCCTTTAGCGAGTTTGAGTTCGCGATGTTCTATTAGTTATCATGATTACTATTTTGGAGGTGGGTGCCCTGCATGGGACCTTTTATAAGAGGCCCGTTCGTACCTTACCTTTTTGGATCTACATTTGATATCTAGGTTATTTTAACTGAATGTAATATTTGTTCTGTTATATTCTTTTGTTTGTTAAAAATTGTGAGTATCGATCCAAATAAAATTTGTTAAATTATCATCAAATATTATACTTTGGCGGACTTTCTCTTTGTTCACGATCAGCCACGCTTTTGAGTAATACTGTAGTTAAGTCGAGGACCGAAACGAAATACTCTATTCCACCATACTTTAAGGCACTCAGGAGCCTCACTGCCGCCTAGGTCGTCTAATTATGCTGCATGTATCACTTCTTTCCCGTCTCAACTACCATCGTCGTCATCTTTAATAAATGAACGAATTAGGAACGACCTCCACCACGTATGTTGGCATAACGAATGATCTTTCTGATTTTGAGACGTTCCTTTTGCTGATAAGGCTTCCTTTCCGCTTGTAATAAATAATCTAGGTCGTGAATCGTGGCATGCAATTCCACTCGTATTTTACCATTGCTGGACAGATGTAACGAATGTTGTGAAGCAGAACTTGACGATTTTGTGAGTTGAAGGCATTGCATGCATCAACGAGAAATACGATATCTGCCTCAAAGATTTCTCGCACAGCACGACTTGCCGCTTCACATCCAGATGGTGCACTTGCACAAAGCTGTAGGGTCCATCGTTCGGAAGAGTATCTGCCTATTAACATTGATGTTATACTGGTAGACTGCTCAAGAATACTTGTCAAAACTGTGCAGAAAATGTTACTATTGAAAAAGAAGGCATGGAATTCTAGTGTTAATTAAACTTTCAGAAGTCTACTTATAAATATGAAATACGACGCTTTGATTGACATGTCTCTTAAATCAGGTTCCCTCTGATTGGTTGAAGAGCTTATCAACAAGTAGTAAATATTATATATAGAACAGTGTTGCCGACTGGGTTGGTAAAATTTGGCGCGCTGCAAGTTAGAAAAGTCCTTCGTCTCACGCCAAGCAAGCATAAATAATTGATTTCCGAAAATTCCTCACTATTTCG